CCCCCCCCCCCCTTCAGTAGGCCCAGGCCAGGCCATGGAGAAACTCGGAAAGGCCCCAGTTCCTTCCCTCCACTTCCGTCGCCCGGGACGCGGCAACACTCACCTCACAGCGCCCACTGGCCTAATGGCGGCGGCGGCGGCGGCGGCGGAATATCGGCAGCAAACGCAGGCCAGGCCCGCTGAGGTTCCCTGACGTCACGGCCCCCCCCGCTCGCCCCTTCCGGTCACGCCCTAAGGCTGCTGGGAAGGCGAGTGTTATCGCCAAAAAGTAGGGGGCCCCCCTCCCCCCCAAAAAAGTGGCCGGACTACAATTCCCAGCGCGAATGGCGCGGCGAGCTCTGGATCCCAGAGAGATGTAAGAAGTCACAAAGCATTGTGGGAGAATATTTTTGAGCGGCACCTCCTCGCGCAACCAAAGCGGTGAGCGTTGCCTGCTAAGGGGTCGAGTTCGGCCGGCCTGTGGAAGCGGGACAACAGACTAAACGGGAGAACATAGCTATCCATCCAGTGGTGGGATTCAGCAGGTTCGCACCAGTTCTACAGAACCGGTAGCTAATGTATTATTGGTTCTGCAGAACCGTTTGTTGGCCTGTTGAATCCCACCACTGTATCCATCCCCAAAATAGCTGCTGCTCGCGGTTACACCACGTTGTGCATGCCCAAGGCCCTGGTTACAATTTGTCATTCTGCACTTACTTTGTAGAGGATTAGCTAGCAAGCAAGAGATGCAGAAAAGCCTCTGCTTCAGATCCTGGAGAGGTTGCTGCCCTGCAGAACAGACAGCAGTCAGTTGGTATTATCAGAGGTGTGCATATTTATGTTTTTGGACTGTAACTCCCAGAATTTCGTAGGAGAGCGACAAGGCGGCTGAATGCAATGAGTATTAGAAGAGGCTGTACTGTACTGTACTTGTATTGCTGTGCAAATAATTGTATTCCTATTTTGTCTGAACTTGATAGTGCACTAAAATACTTTTGCATTTGAAAGTAGAATTGAATAAAAATAGTTTTATATGTGCAGAGGAAGTTCCTTATTTATAATTAAATTCATTGTGGCTGTAATTCACCCACTCTTTTCAAATACAGCACTCCTGTATTTCACCTGCAAAGCTTTCTCCAAACTGTTTTGTTTATATCTGTGAGCCACGTTACCATTTTTCCTCAATCCCTACTTTTTCTTCATATATGTTGTTACATAACAGCACTGATGTTACCTGTCTGTCATGGGTTTGGAGGGAAAGTTCCATCCTATGGAGAGTGGAAGGCGGGACATCAGGAGGAGGGGCTGTACTGTATAAATATATGTGATGCCTGTGTGGTGAAGGTGAAATAGGGAGACACTGGGATGTGACGAAGCAGCAGCTGGGAAGAAGAAGCTGTTGTGGGAGTCTGTGTGTCAGACAGGGTACTACTGTGTGTCAGAGTACCAACCTGATAGGTTCAGGTGTCTGTTGGTTAGCCAGAACTGATAGGTTCAGGGTCTGTGCTTCAAGTTAAGGGTTCTGGGTGAACCAAACTGTATGCTTGTATGAGTGAGAATAAGCCACGTTACTTTATTTTATTCACCTGATTGTTTATTTTTCCCTGTGTGTATTTAAAATAAACCTTATTCTTTTTATTGTTTAAAAATCCATCCCTGGTCTGTGTGACTTCTTAAAGGGAATGGTTGGTGGCAGCTTAGTGTAACTGTGTGACATATCCCAGTAGGTCTGGGTTTGTCACATATGTTTATCTTGTATGCTCCTCAGCAAAGTCAGTTATTAAATATTAGCAATACACATGTTTGTAAAATATAAACATTTTGCACAGTGATTTTTTATACAACATTTGGAAGTGCAATCAAGTTTCTTGCAGAACTTATCATCCAACAAACACTATGTACTGTACATGTATGTCTCAAGAGAATATTAACGAGTACTGTAGAACAATTTCAGTATTTGAAATCCAAAAGAGTGAAATTGGATAAGAGTTCCTAGTTCATTGGCAACTTCAGCTGGTGCAAAACTCTGCAGCCAGACTACTGACTGGAGCCAGCTGCAGGGAGCATATAACACACCTGTTACAAGAACTGTACTGTCTACCAATCTGTTTCCAGGCCCAATTCAAAGTGCTGGTCATTACCTATAAAGCTCTATACAGTCTGGGTCCAGGCTACCTGAAGGACTGTATCTCCCTATATGCGCCTTCCTGGTGATTAAAACCAGCAGAGGCGGCCCTCCTCTCGGCCACACTGCCAGCACAAGCACAGCTGTTGGGGACATGGGGGAGGGCCTTCTCTGTGGCAGCTCCCAGGCTATGGAACGCTCTCCCTTGGGAGATCAGGATGGCCCCTTCCCAGTTATCCTTCTGAAAAAAAGCTAAAAACCCATCTCTTCAGGCAGGCTTTTAACAGTTATAACTGAATCCCTGAACCCCATTTTAGCAGATAATTTTAATCTTGTTCATGTTTTCATGTTTTAATCTTTTAATTCTATTTTAATCCATATACTGTATCGTTTAATTTGTCTTTTAAGATTCAACTTACTGTGTTTTTAATTGTGTGAATTTTAATGTTGTGAGCTGGTTTGCATCCCTTATTGGGAGAAATGCGGCATCATTATCATCATCATCATAGTTCATTAGAAGTGGTTAAGTAAAAAAAAACTACAGTGGTGCCTCGCGTAATGATTTTAATTGGTGCAAAAAAAACATCGCTATGAGAAAACATCGCTAAGTGAAGCACATTTTCCCATAGAGATGCATTGAAAACCGGATAATCCGTTCCAATAGGAACGGATTGCCGTCCTTAAGCGCAAATCGCCATAGGAAACATCGCTAAGCGAAATGCAGTTCCCCAACTGAAATGCATTGAAACCTATTCAATGCATTTCAATGGGGGGAAAAATTACAACAAATTCCAAGAGTCAGAACAAAGTCAAAGTAGTTTAACAAAAGGTTTATTAAGTGCACTTATGATTTCATGCATTCTAAACCTTTTAAAAACATTTTTAAACATTTAAAAGACAGCCAACACGAGGCTGTCAAATCTATCATTAAGAGAAACAGGGGGACCCAAACTGTCATCGCTATGCGAAGCAAGGTCCCAAACATCGATATGCGAAAATCGCCCATAGGAAACATTGTTAAACGGAGCGCAAGATCGCTCCGGAAAACTAATCGTTAAGCGATTACATCGGTAAACGATGCAATCGCTAAGCCAGGCACCACTGTACCCTATATTTTAAAATATAAGTTACCTAAAAAGTGTGCTTTTTTACGTGACGATCATTGAAAATTCCACCAATTAACATTTTAAAGGAAAAATGATGAAGTGACATTAAGATTAATGTTAAGTCTGAAAAAAAGCATTTTATGTCAAACTTGAATCAATTATAATTGTATTCATCTTGAAGGGTAGGCAAAAGCCTTGTAACCCAAACAGCAAGAAAAAAAAACAGTGTTTACAGGTGAAAATAAGATTGTAGGAAGAAAGTGTAGGAGATTGTAAGTATTGCACACAACATACTCCAGAATAACAAAATGAAATAGACTTTATTCAAATTAAGCATGTTTGTTAGCACCTCAGAATAATCAGGAAAATAGAACAGTCCAACAGATAACCAGTCCAATGATTCAACTAACTGAACATACTGTATTTTAGTGCATAATGACTGTAGGAAAGTACCACAACTATCACAACACATGCCTTCAAAACACTCTCAGTCAGCTAGAATGCAGAGACTTATTTACAAAAAAAGATCAAAGTGTTGCTTAAGATCCCCAATAGATACAAATAGAAAAGGAAAAAGTAAAAGAATAGTTCTGTAACCAAACCTAAGTGCAGCACTTTGTAGCAAGCATATCTGCAATTTCCTTCTCTACTTCATAAGCATAGGACTGAAGTCTGCCAGGTCTGGGGGACAAAAAAAGGAATTAAACCGAAAGATAAGAGTATATAGCAGACAACATTCTTGCAACTCCTAACCAAACAACTGGATAAGTCTACTTATGTTGTTCAAAGTACAGTCCAAATCTTCAACAGCCACAGCAGGGCATCCACAAAATCCATTGAGAGTGTACAGTGTACATTCTTCTGGTATATTCACAAATAAATGGCACAGTGAATTACAGCAGTCCTGGGAGAGAAAAAAGTAGAAGTCTTATTACCCATGTATAGTAAATAGAAGCAAGGGCCATGTTAGACATCCATTCTCTGCATGGTGCATTTTTTAGCATTTCGGTGTAAGCAATCTTTTCCTTTTTTTCCTTTATGTTCACTGCTCTAGGTATATACAACATGAATAAGCAATATACATTTGTGACTTCTGTTTGTGATTGTTGTTTAATGTGTAACTAGTCAACAAATAAAAAGAAGTGGACACATGGCCATCCGAATACTAATTAAATGCAGCAAGTCACAATAATTTCAATTAAAGATACTTACACAGTTCAAAATGCCACACATCCACCAAATTGTGAGCCAATTTAATATTAAGCAGTTTTGTTCTTTAGTTACCAGATGGGGTTGAGAGAATCAAGAACTATATCCATTTGTTTCTCTCCTTCTTAGTACAAAAGAAAAATCTATACATCATTTATCGAGTAACACAGAGCACATATGCAGCAGGTTCTTACATGCTACCATTAACCACTCTGCATGTATTAAGGGGAAGCATCTATTTTATTCTGTAGTCTAAGGGAGTCCATTACATTTCTAACATGTGATTTGGACTGTAGCACAAACTCTTTTTTCATTTCCATTCATGAAAGCAGATAATTAAAATCTGGGCAGTATAAATATCTCTAACGAGTAAACTTGTTAGTCCACACTTGTTTAATTCAAATACAGATAAAAACAAAATAAAAATGTAGTGGCACTTTTAACAACTGTTATATTTCAACATGAGCTTTCATGAGATTTCTCCAAAAAAGCTCACACTGAAATTTAAGTTTGCCTTTATGGCACCACTATGTTTCTCATTTCATTTTGTTTTTGTCTTGCACAGACTAACACAGCTACCTCTCTAGAAACTTGTATCATTAATTTTTGTCAGTCAACAAGCACAGATTGCTAGCTATGCTAATGTACTCAGATGTAGTACTGCATATGTCCAGCGTTTTATAGCAAGTGGGTCACTGGAAATTAACCTAATTCCTCTTACGTTAGCCATAATACACCCCAGAACATGAAAGATACTACACAGGTTGTACCAGAGGAAACCAGGCATTAGCAGAAATGAAACAACTGTTGAATGCCACAAAGGGCATGTATCCAACCTTATGCCATTGCCACAACAATCACTTATCAACTTAGAGAAACAAAGGCAAAAAGCAACTACAAAGCAGGGATACAAACTATGTGCTCCTGCTGTCCTCTTTGCTAAGAATTTATCTGGGCACCAAAAATAGCAAACTCTGTATTTGGCGGGGGGGGGGGATTGTGCAGACTGAAAACACCAAGTTTTCTTTTCTTTGATATAGAGGGACAAAAAATGCATTGATGATCACAATTTCTAAGGTGTTAACCAACATTTACTGCAGAATATTTGTCATATAATACCATGAACAACAAGTACTCTAGTGTAAATGGTGTAGAGCCCAAATATGTTTGTAAAAAGTAATGCATCTTCCTCAAAACTGATTTTGTAACAAGTGTAATTTGAGTGCTAGTAGCAGGAGTTCCTACACCCGATTATTGGAAACATGCAAGTCTACCAAAGACATTTTCCACTGATGCTACAGAGGCTTGAGTTCCAAAAGACATCACTGACAGTACCACAGCAGCTGTTGTCTGCCGCTGTCCTTTGGATTCCATAATCCATGGAATATAGTGTCGCTCTCCAAAAATCCAGGCTTATGTTTTAAAAAATATGGTAGCCAAGGATTGTTGATTAAATCTCACAGGAATACAGTTTAAAAGTGAAGTCTTAAGTCCAGTTCAGAGACAACCAGTTCACAGCAATATGTATGGGCTTCCTGGATGGAGAGGGAAATGTTGTCAATCTACTGGTGTAAACTGACACCCTTTCTGTCAAAGAGTACACCTGGCTTAAAGGAACTAGAAATACAACTTGGGCATTAACACTACTCCGGAGCACCATTTGTCTTTACAACAGCTTCTTTTCCCCCTCAACCCCGAGCAGTCTTTTCGGCTGGGCTTTCGTTGCTGCCACAGTAAGTAACCGATTTCCATCGCTTCCTTTTGAACCTGGTCCCTTGCCCTCAGCAAAACAGGTCACCCAAGGAGCAGGGGATCCCCAGCGAGTAGGAGGAGGAGGAGGGGGGGGTCGGCGGCGGCCAGGGGCGGCCAGGCATGTCTCAGAGGCCGTGGCGCTTGCGAGAGCCTCCCCCGAGGCTGGCGGCGTGGAGCAGGCGGTCCTTCTCTCGGATCTCCTCCCGGAGCTGGGCTTCCGCCAGGCGGAGGCGGCGGATGCTGCCCTTCATCTCCTTCATCTTCACCTCCAGCAGCGCAATGATGTCCCGCTGCTCGTTCAGCTTGCGCAGCAGCTCCTCCGACGTGGTGCCCGACGAGAGCGAGTACGAGTGGTCCGGGGGGCTGTCCGCCAGCGGCCCGTTCTCGGTCAGGAAGGCCAAGCCGACGGGAGCCCCGACCATGGAGGCAGGACCGCCCAGCTCCAACTGGACCGTCAGGTCGATCGGCTTGACATCCTCGCCGGGGACCCCGGAGCCCATAGAGACGCCCCCGCCGCCCCCCATGCC